AAAAGAAATTATGGAGACGTCACTTGTCACTGTGAGTTGATAGGAAACTTCCAATGCGTCCTCCAATTATCTTATCTAAATACCATTATTTAGTTCACAAAGATCCTTCTCTTTATTATTTCGGTTGATTTGTCTCTCTTGTGATTTTATTTTGAATTTATCCTTTTCTAGTTCACCAAGTTGAAGACCATCTATATGTATATAGGAATGATCATACTCTCTTTGTAATTCAGCAATCAAGAAAAGGAAAAAAATGTTTGTAGCTTTAAATATTTTGGCTTTTTTATAGTCCAATAGATTAGTTCTTGTGTTCAATATATTTGGTCCCAACATATATATTAAATTTTGCTGGCTTGTTGAGCCCAAAACAACTTTATGTGCTATATGACTTCTAATTTTGCTCTTTTTTTTTTGTCATGTTATGAATCTTATGATGTATACATCTTACATGACGTGTGGTAAACAAGGATCTTTAATTTTTCTTTAGGTTTTTAATTTATTTACTTTTAAAACACATTGTCATGATAACATAATTTCTACATACCAAAATTTTATATATCTTTAACCTTAATATACACTCATGAAATCTTTTTCAAATAAACCTTTTTTCTCATATGATACGAATACGACTAAACTGTCTTTTTACTTACCAATATATTCTTTACTGTAAACGAAATCTCTCCCCAAACCTTCAAATATAGTCACCGTTACCACTTCGTCATCTTTATTACCCCCACTCACTCATTCCAATTTAATGGTTTTATTGCCCACTACCCTCTCATTCATGAGCGAAACCCAACCACCGTTACCACTTCATCATCAAATTACTCCTTCCAATTCAAAGCTTATAAAAGACGTCCAACCGACAAACTTGAATGGATATCTTCAAAAAATTGTTGTGTTTGTCTGAAAGATAGGACCCTCGACCTTCTTTCTGTTAAGTCTCTGAATCCTCTTCACTTTTGATAATACATTTACTGATTCATGTCATTTGCAGAGGATTGACTGGTGTTGTTGAGGTCAGAGCTTGGTAAGCTTAAAAGGAAACGCTTTTTTTTTGTTTTTGCAAGAGTTACGCGTGTCCTAGCTTCGGATTCAATTTTCCACCTTAGTGACTATCAAAAGGGAGAGTATCTTACCCCACAAAATGGAATCTCTCCATTCTCCGCATGTTTTGTTTACACCTTCCGGGATTTAATATGTGTTATGGTTGTAGTTGCAAAAGGTAATACTGTAATATATAATTTCGCTTCCAATTGCAAAATATAATGGTGGTTTGATTGGTCATGCAGCCATCGATCAGTGCTAAGCTAACAGTGATCATGATTTCTAAAAGCTAACAAGCAAGGGAGGATATGGCTTGATGAAAGATGCGATGGTTCTAAGAAGTGATGACAACAACGGATGTGGAGGTAGGGAAGGGTTGTTTCAGTTGAGACTTAATATGGTGGTGGATCTTGGTATTTAGACATCGCCTTGATTTTTCCAGAATAAAGCAAAATAAGGTTTTTTTTTTTTTTTTCTGAAAACAAGCTTCTACAGTTAAACGCTCAAATGAAATCAAGCAATATAAGTTGATTAGAAGGAATTAGTTTGGACCTGAGAATAACAAAATCGGAATGCTAGCTAATTATAACTACCAGCTTAGATATGAGAAAATGATATACTCCAAATATAATTGTACGAGAACGAAATTAAAAAAAAAAAAAAAATCTACACAAAACTCGTTTAGTGATTTTCCACACATAAGTTTCTTTTGGATAATGGCTACAGACAAATAAAGAATCATGAGTTGAGTGAAGCAAGGAGGACTGTTGATCCAACAGGTCGACAATAAATTTATAATAGATCGGAGGTCGGAGAAATTCGTRTATAGAAAGTTGAGTCCGAGAAAGGTAAGTAAGAWTAGGTCGCTATAAATAGTCCGGACAGACCCCGRGCTATCGGTTCTCTAGGTCGGGTGTAAAAGATTACAATTTTAGCGGACTCGCAAAYAGTGGTACTTGTATTTCTTGAGGGAAGAGTGGATGTCCCCCTGTACTGTCCCGTGACGTCTATTTATAGTGAACGGTGTTGGGTTTAACTCGAGTTCAGCTGACCGTGGTTATCTCCTGGGTGTGGTCAGACC